GGCGTGGGCCACCGTACCCACCTCCAAATCTGCTTTATTTCCTGTTTTTTATTTGTTTATTTAGCATTGTAGATTGAGAAGTAGATGTAATTTCTAGAAATTTCGAAGCTTTGGTGGGGGGAGTCAGACTCCTTACGGCTGTTGATGGTTTGGGGCTGTTGAACCAAGTACTAGTGAGGATCTGGGTCCCGAAGACGATCCTGAGGTTCAGAGCGGTCCTCTGGAGTGTTGAGCAGGGCCATCTCCTCCCCTGCAGACCATCCTGCCCGCTGCCGCCCAGGACGTGTACTACCGGGATGAGATCGGCAACGTGTCCACCAGCCACCTCCTCATCCTGGACGACTCTGTGGAGATGGAGATCCGGCCTCGCTTCCCCCTCTTCGGGGGATGGAAGACCCACTACATCGTCGGCTACAACCTCCCGAGCTACGAGTACCTCTATAACTTGGGTCAGTGTTCATGTTGGGGACATGGTACTAGACACAGGGTCTCGCTGAGTTGCTCAGGGCCTCGCTAATTTGCTGAGGCTGGCCTCCACCTTGCGATCCTCCTGCCTCAGCCTCCTGAGCCGCTGGGATCACAGACACGCACCCCCTGTGCCTCCGCATCGCCGCGCCTTGACACAGTCTGCTCTGCCTTCTGTGGAGCAGGAGGGCGGCCACACCCCCTGCTGGCCCCCTGCTGTCCCCTCCTGTGGCTCAGGCCCTGCTGTGCTGGCTCTGTCCCCCAGGCGACCAGTACGCTCTCAAGATGAGGTTCGTGGACCACGTGTTCGACGAGCAGGTGATCGACTCCCTCACGGTGAAGATCATCCTCCCGGAGGGCGCCAAGTGAGTGCCCGTCCCCCTGTCACCTGCCTCCTCCCGGCTCCCCCTGGTGCCTAAACCACGGGCCGAGTCCGGGGCATAGTAGATGCTCATCAAACAGCTTTGACTGAGTGACGCGCACGCCACGTCCTGCGGGGCGCTCTGTTCAGGTCCCGAGCGGGCAGCGAGGGCGTCTGGAGGGGACAGACACCAATAGAGAGACAGCCGGGGCTCAGCGGGCACCCGCAGCCATGACGGGGAGCAGGGACCCCGAACCAGCTCGGCACGTCCATCATATAGGTCTGACCATCAGAAGGACTGACTGAGGGAGTTTCTTCAACACCAACAGGACCATAGTGAGGGAAGAAACGGCCACTTAGAACTGTCACCTGGCACCCAGCTGGCCTAGGAACCCAGGGTCAAGAACTGAGAGCCGGGCACCGCGGCCCATGCCTGTCCTCCCAGCAACTTGGGAGGCTGAGGCAGGAGGATCATGA